CCCCGTTACCAAAGACACAACCAAAAACCACGTCACAGAAAACCCAATACACTCACTTTCGTTCTCTTCCACAGTGTGCAGAGGTAACCTCCTGAACAGTGTAATTCACCCAAGTAATTAAGAGACTAATGAAGATGGGAACATAGATTTGGAGCCAGGTGGACCAGGTGTTTTTGAAAGGAACTGTCATCATGAGGATCTAAGTAAAGAAACAAGACAAAGGTACAGCTTTGTATCACTGTAGCTTCTAAAGGTCTTTAGGCAATGGCTCTGTTCTATACAGAACATATATAAAAGTGCTCTCCACTGCAAGTATTTACATGTTTGCAAAGTAGTTATTGTTCAGGATTCATACATTTTTTTAAAGCACTATAAAATCAAATTCTGATTCTTTTCTCCTCAAATTTTATTGTTCTGTCAGAAATGCCTCTTATGTACTTAAAGAACAAACAAGATTTTTTTTTCCCTAAAAAGGGGAAAAAATGAAAGTGACAGTACTAACAGCTTCTGAAAACAGAATAGCTTCTGTAAAGTCAGAACTGTCCTAATGACTAGCAAACAGCTGGAACAGAAACTCTGGATTCAAGTCCTGCTAATAAGATCAAAGTTCACCTCTGTAGAAGCAAGAAATTTCTGTCTAGATTTGGAACTTGTGAGGAGAATGTCAGTGACTCCCCTTTTTTCTACATCCTTCATCTTGGTTCGGTGATGAACTACAGTATTTGACCCACTCGAATAAGCTCCTAACCATTTTTAGGCTCTGTGGTTATTCCACTACTCAGCAAAAGCAGCCTTTTCCTCTGTAAATTAACTGGTGAAGACTGTGGCAGTCAATGTGAGAGCTAACAGCCCAGGCAGCAGAGGAAGATCAGCATAAGTGCCTGTTTGATGGTTGTTTTCCTTAAGGTGTCCTGAATTGCGAAACCAGAGTAAGAGCTCCAAGATGGTGCGTTACTCATGAGGTGAAGCCAGGTTAAGTCAGAAACTCTTGTGAATGTGATGTGATTTGCATGGCTGGCTTCCAGTCTTTTTCAGTTAGCTACTGCATCGTATAACAGGAGGAGATCCCTCCTGAGAGGGTGGTGCTTACCTGTGCCACCATACCTACCCCAGGTGTGCCAGGAGCTGTGACACCAGCAGGTGGAGTCCCAGCACAAGGTTCCCAGCAGGCAGGGCCAGGAGAACTGGCTGGCAGGCAGTAGGCTCCAAGGTTGGCCTGGGCAGTACCTTCTGGTGGTACCAGGTGACCCTTGGACAATGCGGGCTGCAGAAGAGCAAGACCTTAGGCAAGCTTCCCTTTGATTCACCTGGTGAGGCTGCAGCACCCACCACACAGCTGTCCACCAGGAAGCTGTTCCTGCTGCTGCTGGGATGATGTGACACACATTTCTACGTTTTCAGTAAAAGATTAAAGGAGAAGCTTTTTGCTTGGGTGGGGATTATTAGTGCTTCAGTGTACATCCCAAGAGCTACAGAGCTCACTGCAGACTCATAGTTTTTGTAGCTCAAATCTCCAGCATAGCTGGCAGATGGAAAGGAGGTTTTATTACTCCCTGAGAACTAAACTACCTCCTAGCTTGTCTTGATCTCCTTTTCCCACTGTGATCCTCACTTTCATGTTTGGAGGCTGGCTCAGTGACAGTGCCAACAACGCTGCTTGCATCAAGAGGAGACTCGAAAGTATGCCAGTGTGAGCTGGAGAATATGATTCTGCATTTGTGTGTTCCTTTGAAGTTTGTGACTGGTTAGCAGAAAATGAGAAAAAGGAGAGCCCTAGATTTTGGATGAATAAGTGCATTTAAATCCCATGTCTTTGCATATGATGTATTTCAGGTCATCATGTCCTGAATCATCATGGCTTGGATCTGGTATCTGAAATGCAGCCATCACCTTTAGGGCCTTTACAAGGTCCACTGATGCAATACTATGCAGTGTTTGTGAAAGAAAAAAAAAAAGAGTTATATGGGAAGACACTGCACATTCTCATACATCAGTGTTTAAATTTGCTACTTCTATTTAATTACACAAAATCTTTGAATTCTTGTGTTTTTGTGAATCACAAGATAACACAACACTGATGCTGCAGTCTATCCAAGGATGGTTTGAGATCTCACAGCATGAAGTGCCTGGTCTTTAACAAATCATTGAAATAACTCTTGTATATTTTCCAATAATTTTAGTAAAGGGCTTTTCAAGTAAGATTTTTCAGATTCCCATATGCAATAGGAAGCAGTTCTCTTAATGGTAAATACAGCAAATCTGTGACTATTGTGATGAAGGCATTTTTAAAGCAGTCCCAGTATTAGAACCTGCTTCGCGTCCTCTAAGTCATTTCTTCTGCATGGTCCATTCTTCTGAGACGGAGAAGAAAAGCCACAGCCCTGATTTCTTTCCATCCACAGATCACTGCTTAGGCTGCTTCAGATGACAGTGCAGAGAAGGAAAAAGGGTAATATTTTGGTCTGGGACTACCATTTGATGACCAGAACTTGGTGAAGGCAGAAGGTTAAAAAGGAGAGAAACTCTCCACTGAATGAGGCACAGCTGTGGGGACACAAGTAACTCAGTTCATAAGGAGAGGAAATGAAAACTATAAGGAAGAGTTAAAAGAGAGATTAAAAAGGGAAATTTCTGGCACAAGGGAATTCATCTAAACAGCCTAATTGCCCTGGTTTTTTTAAGCTTCTGACAGCCAGGCTGTTAGGTGTTCGTGGCAGCCCTGAGAAAAATATGGCAAAATCTAGCTTTTGTGAAGGTGGCAGTTTGTTTAAAGTCTGTGTGTGTATACAAATATACATATATATGTATGTATGTAAATGTTTCAGTTTTAAGTTAAAGGCATATAATTTTAAATTACAAACTTTTAAATAACAAATTAGTCAGTGGCTCAATTGCCACTTGTTATTGTTGCTGTGACTGTATTTCACAGGGTCTGAAGAGACATCTGGGAGAGAGATACGCACACATTACACTTAGTGTACACATGCCTTTAGTGAAGTAAATTGGTATCTTTGTTGTCTTGCTTCACACTCTGGGGAGTAAAGTGAAAAAGCAGGCGTTTGGAAGTGTGTGAGCAACAGAAGGGGAGCATGTGTCATTCTACAGAGGTAAAAGTTTGTCTCTCAAATATGTGCTAAGCTAAGATACAGGAGATCTGGCTTCTGTTCTTGGCTCTGACGGAAGCCTTCCTATGTCACTGTGACCAGACAGTGGTATCTAAGTTTTCTGCCTTAAACAGAAAGGGATTTCCACACATCCTGTTTGCTATGCATTTCAAGCACAGTAAGAAACATGACAAAGTCCTATCTAGCCAAGTTAGATCAGAACTCCTACATGCTGAAAAGGCCTTAGGGGCACTTTGCTGGAAACTAAGTTTGGCTCATCTTCCCTCAACCTCCCATGACAATTCTGTGATGCCTCCACCAGAAGGGATTTTTATTTTGGCTTACTCAGTGACTAGCCCTCAGCTTTCTATTTTCTCAAACCACAGTCTTCCCACTCTTGACAGTTCCTGTTTCATTAACCATCTTTTTTCTTCCTCTTTAGGTTTGGACAAATTGTGCAGGTTTGGCAGCCACTGCACCAGTGATACCTTGCAATCCAGGGAGGATGCATCGAAGTGAAGGAATGAGGGCATGAACAGAGTAGGGGTGCCCTCCTTCTGCAGCAGCCATGTTACACCAAGCCTGGCAGTTCTGCGGGAGGTGGTGCCGTTGGTCCAGTCCTTTTATCCATCTCCTCACACTGACTGTGATGACATTCGGTGTGCTCGCACCTTTGATTTGCCACCGGCTCCTCCACTCTTACTTCTATTTGCGGCGCTGGCACCTGAACCCCATGAGCCAGGAGTTTCTGGACCAGAACCAGCAGGAGGGCCAGGCTGCCCTCCATTACTTTGAGAAGCTGCAGATACCAAACAACTCTGTGGCCTCTGGCAGTGACGCCTTCCAGCCCTTGCTGCTGATCACCATTATCACTGTGCAGAGGCGGAATGATTTCCACTATGTCTTGCAAGTGGCCTCCCACTTCCACCGCCTCCTCCAGAAATGTGGTGCGCGTTGCCAGAGCCACCGCATACTCCTCTGTAATGTGGAGTCAGACCCCAGTAGCCATCAGGATGCCAGGCTTCTGAGTAGTTTCTTTCCTGTGGTCAGTCATGACAGAACTGGGGAGAACCCTGACCCCAGGGTTAACCAGTTTGAGAAAGAGAAGCAGGACTATGTCTTCTGCCTTGAGCAGTCACTGTTGGCGTACAACCCAGAATATGTCCTTGTAGTAGAAGACGATGCTGTGCCAGAGGAGGAGATATTCACTGTCTTGCAGCACCTCTTGTTGGCCCGCTTCTCCAAACCATACCTCAGAGACGCACTCTACTTCAAGCTTTACCATCCTGAGAGGCTTCAGCGCTACATCAACCCTGAACCCATGAGAATCCTGGAGTGGTTGGGTCTGGGCATGTTTCTGGGGCCTGTGCTGAACTGCATGTACTCCAGGGCAACTGGGCGCCCCAGCCTCAGTTGGCCCATTGTCTTGTTCTTTGCTTTGTACAGCATGGCTTTGTCAGAGCTGGTGGGACGGCATTACATGCTGGAGCTGCGCCGGCTGGCGCCCACACTCTATAACATCGTGCCGGTCACCGAGTGCTGCACACCTGCCATGCTTTTCTCTGCTCCTTCTGCCCACCGTGCCTTAGGTTACCTGAAGGGGCTGCACTGCCGCCAGGGTTTTGCTAAGGATATTGCCCTCTACTCGCTGCTGCGGACGAAGGGGGAGAATGCCTATGTGGTAGAACCCAATCTAGTCCGGCATGTGGGAATGTATTCCAGCCTTCGGCTAAATGACAACCCGAAACTGCTGTGACCTGTTCTTGCCTTTCCAGACTCAAAGCCCAGAGAACTTTCCCCTGGGCAGAGGGACAGTGTGCAAGCTCAGATATTGTGCTGCACACATTGGCCATCCTGTGCCTCCAGGGCAACAAAAAACAGCTCTCTCTAAAATAAAAGAAAGTTTCTTAAAAAATAAACTTATGTACATGCAGACCCTATTTGATATATACTTGGAACTGATCACCATGCATCATGTGGAAGGGGAGTGGAGGATTCCACCTGAGGGTGTGAATTATCCCTTCTCCTTAACCATTCTTAGGGAAAAGCTCTCACACCAGTATAAGCAGCTATACTGCCTACTCTTCTTCACATTAGATACAGAAATCCTCAACTTAGGGCAACAGAAATGTTGGACAAAGTGAATGTTTCCCATTTAAGCTAGTGAGGAGAAAAAGCCCTTATTTTTCTGTCCTTACTAAGGTGTGATCTCTCACCTCTCTCTGTTTCAGAGCAGTGATTTTGAGCAGACCCTTCAAAAGCAGCAGTGGTTTATGTGAACTTTCCCACAAATTTTGCCATTATTCTTCAAATTTTGCAAAGCCTCTATTTGTTACTTTCTCCCCCTACAGATCTTGTCTGCACCTCCACCCTTCCTGCTTCTTTTTGTTGGAACAGAGGCTCCAGAAAACAAAGCCTCTGCTGCTTCATGAAAGGTCACCTCTGAAGATAGGAGTAGGAAAACAGAGTAACGGCCACTGATGTTTCACAGTCAGGTCACAAGTGCACATTTTCATTGACACAGACATAAACAACAAAGGCTGACTACCATGTTGGTTGGTATCATCACTGGTTGTAGTGGATCCATGTCATTAAAAGAGGCCTTATCAGTTACTGATTGGGCTTCAACATGAATTTAGCTTGACTTCCTATCAGCAGAGGCAAAGGAAAGATTGTATCAGGTGCGGCTGTTGTGCAGGATCCTTGTTTCATTTTGGAGCTGTAATTCACAGCTCGGCCAAAGTGGTTCATTCACTGCTCCTGGCAGCAAGCAGAATGCCCATAGGAAACAAAGCTAGGTATTCACAAAAGCAAGAAATAGTGCAACACATCAGGGGGCCAACTCTGATACTGGCCTGTTAACTTAATGTGCTCTGGTTAGTCATTTGGGATAGGTACTTTGTACCACAGCTGTGGACACAGTTAAATATAAAACCATGCAGATTACAGAGATCTCATACAGAATAAGAACTGGCAGCAAAATATTTATATCTAATGAAAAACCCACCTTGACTTTAGTGGGCGTTGAATCAGATCCACGTACATGTGGAGTTTGGTTGAGCTCTTTCTGAAACCATATTCCTAGCTTTGGAATGAACCAAGTACAATATTTTTGTTGAGTCTTGGTCAGTGGGGGTTGTTTGGTTTTTTTTGTTTTCAGTGAAGGAAGAGCTCTGCTTTGAATTTTCTTTACCCCAGTCTCTGCCAGGTGATTTATGCCTTAAGCTCTTACCAAGTCTGGTCATAGACATAAAACAGACATGAAACCAAAGAAAGCTGCAAACCTCCGGCTGTCAGTGCATGATGGGTATCAGTTACACAACACAAACGCATAATGCAAGTTAGCTGATTAGAAATGGCCTTGTAACACAGAGCAGTGCTTTGCTGTCTTAGTAATCAGCTGGGGTACTGTTACAATGCCTTTGGAAATCAGATGTGAGTAAAAACTGCTTGTGGGTTCCACATCATTCCAAAGGCAAAGCACCTCTTCTGCCAGAGGATACAGGAAAAATTGCACAGAAAGAACCAGAGTTTATCCCAGCTGCTGAAAACCCCAAAGATACCAGAGCAGTTACGCAGCAGCAGATGGGCAAACCTATTCTCAGGCTTTAATATGGTTAAGATGGAAGCATTTGAATGTCATTGTGTATTTATTCCACTAAGTGCCTGTGTGTATGATGAAATACAACTTGTTTGTGAATGTTTCGGTGCAGTGTACTTTCTCATTACTTTTTTTCTATCTTTGTACTGTACAAATCCAGGACAATGTCTTGTCCTTTTCACAAAGGTCCATTCATATTCATTCTTGCAAAGAAAATCTCACAGCAAGAAAAGAAACTAACTATATGCAGTTAATAAATGTTTTGATGTGGTAAATTTATCTGTTTGTCTCAAAGTTATTTTCTGTGTTTGCCCAGTAGTACTTTGTCCAAGGGAGGTCAATAATTTCACTGATCTTCATAGCTGAAAATCAAGAACCTGAATTTGAGGCATCTCTTCTAAACCAGAAGACAATTTTCAGGGCATAGGAGGTGAGAGAAGTTGACTGGGAACCACACAATATGCAGAGGGCCCGCAACATGAACCTGTCAGTAAGACGTTTCGGATAAACTCATTGAGAATGGACTCCTTTGTGCAAGGTGCAGGTTAATACATTCTTTGGGTCCTTCTGGAATAATTTCCTTAAATGCCCAATTCACTTTACAACACAGGTGGTGCTTTTACTGAGCCTGCAGAGGGCTATGCCTGGGTTGCTCAGTGCCCACTATACCAATGTGGTATCTTGGGCAAGCATTCCTTCTGCTGCTGCCTCTGAACTTTCACAAGTAGATTGATTTTTGTTTCTGGTTTTTTGTGCCATATGTTTCATTAGAAATGACAAGTCAGAAAAGTGTACTTTGCCCTTGGAAATCAGAGACTACTGTGAGTTCTTAATTCCTGTTGGATTTTGTTCCAAAGTCCAGGCTGAAAATGCAGTTTTCAAACACACAAGTCTTTCCCTTCTCTTTCCTATCTGCGGAGTGGAGCTGAGTTGCCGTATTTCAGGCTACAGAAGTTCAAGGCCTAGCATTAACTCCTTGAAACACCACCTTAAGAGTTTGGTTTTATTCACATTGAAACAAACTTACTATTTTTGAAACAAACAATATGGACTTTCTTGGGTGTTGATTCATTCCCAATAGTTTAGAGACTGTTTTTCAGTGCAGCAACTACTGCATGCACAAGAGGACTCTCTTGATGGGCCAGACAACAGGACTCAAGGCATTATTGTCCAAGACAATTCAGGAGAAGTTACTCAATTAAACAAAAAATACCTTTGTTTCCAAGGTATGTCTGACATAAGCATGATTCTGGCAGAGCATAAAGCATAAACTGATAGGTCTCTATTAAATGAGAAGCCCAAGAGGATTTTCTAACTACAGTAGGTATCACTGTCTTAGTGAGATGGCACTGCATTGAAGAGAGAAAGAAAAGGCCTTCCTCTCAGTTGTGAGGAGCTGCAAATTGCCAGACTGGGTATTTCAACAGCAGTTTGGCTGGATGCAGGGTGGATTACTTTTTTCCTAAAGTTATTTACAAGCAAACTTTCTACCAAATAAACAACCTTTTATTAAAATTCTGTTGTCTCTTTCTTCTGTATGCCACTGTTCATTTTCCTCACTGGCAGATCCATCTCTTTCCTTACTATATTTGACAAAGAAAGATGCTTCTGTGTTCATGAATCTGCATGCATCCGCATGGATTTAATAATTTGGATCCCACAATTCAGGTTGAAAAGGATCTCTGAAGGTCCCTGGTCCAATTCCCCAATCAAAGCAGGTGTTACTAGACTGGGTTGCTCAGGCCCGCCTCAAATCAAGTATTGAGGCATTTTAATGGGGAATCTGCGATAAAATTAGGCTCTAAGTGGTTGAATTTAACCTTAGTATATTTTTGTAAGGAAAAGCTATATATTTCACAAAATAAAAAAGGTAATTTTATGTGGTTGTAGTTGTAGTTACAAAGGCACTGACAGTTTCTCTCCTGACATTTCTTTTTGTTTATTTTCATACCAGCTTTATAGATATGTCGTATCCAAAGTCAGCAGATGGCAGGGCCCAACATATGGTTCAGAATAATCTTTAGTGTAACATACATTTGCTAAAAATGCATATAGAATTAGGTACTCCATGGTCTGTTCTTCTTCATTGCATGTGTCTGTTGCTGGAGTAATTTCACTTCCACAAACTATCTGTCCTGACAGCTCATGCTTTGAGAGAATCCGCACCATCAGCCAGCTTATCTGTGCACCTATATGATAAGAGTTAGTAATATCAATGTCCATTTCCAAGACTTTGTTCTACATGGCAAGCTATGACTGCCACCTTCCCAGCTGTGTAACCACTGGTGATTTTTAAATCTTGACGAATTAAAATAGCATTTTCTTGCGCTGTTAGTAAGCCTCTGGCTAGCTACAAATTCTGCAGTGCTTACTTTCTCTGAATTTCAGTCATAGTGTCCAGTGTTTCTCCAGCACTGCAGAAACCACATTGACAATGGTCTTTTCAGCAAACCGGTCCACTTCAGATATCTGTTCTAGTTTGTATTTTGCAAATTGCATGCCAGCCTTAATATGCAACACGTAAGTGTGCTTTTTTTTATGTGCTCTTAAACAGGTAAAAAACCAGTTAAGTGTCTCCCATTATAGAAGGCAATTATTTCCTACTTGCCTTTTGAAAAACAAAATGTCAACAGAAAGGCACAGACACCAGAGTCATTACTGCATTAATCTTCATGTCTTGTTGCAGATATTTTGCACAGCCCAGAACTGTTGTCACTGACAGCCTGATTTAAAGTTGTATCCTTGTTTGCTGTCCCCACTATCGAGATTATTTCAGAGATTTAGGTTTTGGTGACAGCAATCATAGAATCACAGAATGTGTTGGGTTGGAAGGGACCTTTAAAGCTCATCCAGTCCAACCCCCCTGCAATGAGCAGGGACAATGTTACCAGATCAGGTTGCTCATAGCTCCATCAAGTCTGATCTTTATTATCTCCAGGGATGGGGTCTCTACCACCTCTCTGGGCAACCTGTGCCAGTGATCTACCACCCTCATACTGAATAACTTTTTCCTAATATCCAGCCTAAATCTACCCTCTTCTAGTTTAAAACCATTACCCCTCATCCTATTGCTACATGCCCTAGTGAACAGCTCTTCCCCAGATTTCTTGTAGGCCCCCTTCAGGTACTAGAAGGTCACTATAAGCCCCCCCCGG